GAGGCTTAATAAACATTTATTGAATAAGCATGTAAATCAATGAAGGTTTGCATAGGAATACAAATGGAGGAATGGGTGAATGAATGAATGAAGAAATGAATAATGGGTTATGGAAATAAGTGATTTTTATAAAAGGAAAATGTGGATTTTATTAGGTTGTGGTAATATTATAATTTTAACTTGTTGATAGCTTCTCTATCAATTCTCCAGAAACTTTAGATGATATCACTAGAACAGCAAGTCAGAGACCAAATTACTATGTTTGCCATTGAGAAAGGAAACAATTTTGTTTTCACTTAATTCTCTCTGTCTGGCTCAACTAAACTCTCTACTTTTGTAGAAATAAAAATCACTTACTTCCTTTATCTTACATATTGTCATCTAGCCTGTTGTTATGCTTTTACTTTTCAGCTTGCAGGCTGAAAAAAGGAGGCCAGTTAGAGTCCGAGCAGTATAGCTAGTCTAGTATCTTTAATGTTACATGCATCGCTGATGGACATAGATAAGTTTCTCACTTTTCCTGGTCCTTTTGGTAGCTTTTCCTCTGTTAGAAGTTACTCAGATTATTCTCACTAGTCTTTCTTCAGAGGAATTGAAGTAATATTTTCTGGGACTCAGAGGAGAGAAATATTATTTATTCTTCCAGTATACACTATTCTAGATTAAAAGGTAACTCTAGTAAAAGTCTAAAGGTATGAGAAGAGGATGGGGAATAGTAGATAGAAGAGATTTTTTAGAAGGTGAGGATTGCTGAGTAATAAGGTGGGGGAAAATGGGTTTGAAGGGGTGGGCATCAGTGAATCACAACCCTTGTGTATATATAGATATACTCCAACTCACTGCTGTGGAGTCTGATCTGACTCATAGTGACCCTTCTTTGGGTTTCTGAGGCAGTATGTCATAAAATTATATTTGATATTAATATTAGATCAGGAGTCACATGACAAATTCTGTCTCTATCTACTCAATGCCAATATTAGCTATTAATTCTGATGATGATGCTGGTGATGGTGGTGGTGGTAGCATGTGTGCATATGAAATAACTTAACATCACTTTGCTACAGAAGAAAAAAAGATTGAAGTTGGGTGGTTAAAAAATGGGCAGATAAATAATAGACAAATATATCCTCATTCTATCCTATAAGTACTTGCTTTGAGGTGACACAGGTACTGCCTCATAAAAAGAACACAATAATTTTAATAGTCACAGTCATATGTAATCAATTTTCCATCTGCTCTTTATTTTAGGGTAAGACTAGGGTTACCACCTACTGACTAACACCAAAAAACTTCCTTACCCTCTCTAAATCTTAGTTATTTCATCTGTTAAATGAGGAAAGTAATAATAATGTCTGACTTGATATTGGGGCAAAGATTAAATGTGTCTAGCACTTGGAAAACACTCAAATAAACATCAGCTGTGTTAATCATAGCATTTGTATCTGGAATTGTATCAATAAAGGGCAACACTGTCTTCCAGGCAATGAAGTTCAAAACTTTGGTGCAATTTTTACTTAGTTCTCTTTTGTACACCCCATATCACATCCATCAGCAGATTCTGTTGGAGCTACCTTCATAATTCATAATATATCCACCTCTGCTCCTCCCATGCTATTGCTACTGCAAACCACCATCAACTTTCTGCTCCATTGTACAATATCCTCTTAACTAATAATCTTCCTGCTACTACTATTGCTCTTTTTGTCTATTCTTCACACAGTAGCCAGAATGATCAATTCTAAAAAGTCACACCATGCCATACTGTTGTGCAAAGCCTTTCAATAGCTTTGTTTTTCAACTTAGAATAAATTCACAACTCTTGCAATGAGCAACAAAACCTTATAAGAAAAAAAGCCTGCCACTTACCAGTCCTTGTTCACTCCAGTCACATCACACTGACCTCTTTTAATTAATGATAACAACCCCGCTCCCTCCTCAGAGTTTTCTCTTTCTGATTTTTTTTTTTTTTTGGAGGGGTCTGGAATGTTCTTTCCTTAGATATCTTCTAGAATCTTCCCCAATTCCTCTACTTTACATGTTCCCCTCTCAATGATATCTTCTCTGACTACCTTATAGAAAAAAAAAAAAAATAAAACCCTGCTTCAGGTTCCAAATATTTATTACCCTCCTTAATTTCCCCAATAGCAGATATTACATTCTGAAATACTACACATTTTCTTTTTCATTTGCTTATTTTCTGTCTCCCCCAGCTAGAATGCAAGCTACGTGAGAGTAGAGATTTTATCTGTTTTGTTCACTGCTGTCTCTCAACTTTCTAGCATTTTGAAGACATAAACCAAAAAACCAAACTCACTGCTATAGAATTATTTCCGACTCTAAATGACCCCTCCTTGGTTTTCTGAGGTGGTATCTCTATGGAAGTGGATTGCCCAATCTTCCTTCCAAAGAGTAGCTGGTGGGTTTGAACCACCAGCCTTCTGTTTAGTGGTCAAATGCCTAAGGCATTATGCCACCAGAGCTCCTAATTAATGAGGAAACCAATTATAATTAATTTAAAGGAGAATCCAATGTACCACAATACATCAGTTAGGGATATATAGTGAATTTACAAATAGATGCAAAACTGACTTTATCCACAATGATTGTGGACAATTAATTGAACCTCCACCAAACAATTTCAACTTCATGGACAATAATTTTTTGTATGATCACTTTTCTATAATGTAATGAGTTGTAAAATATCTCAAAGACAGTAAAAGGCATACCCCTCATAGGACCATATAACCCCAAAGGGAATGTTATAGATACACATAACTGTCATTCAAGATATCAAGTAAGATTTTTATATTTCAAAGTCTTTCACAATTTTTTCTGAGAGAAGTTAAATTTACTTAACAGCTATATATCAAATTAAATTCAGATAATGTATAACATACATTTTTATGTAAAGAGAAAACATTTTTTCCTATTTATTTCCATTACTTGCAAAGGAAAAGTGCAAACTTTCTTTATCCATGGGACTCCTGACAAGAAACAGCATAATCAAAAGTGTAGATTCAACAAAAGCTTAATGAAGATTACTTATTAATGTGTGAAGAAGCTTACGGGAAATAAATGTGGGAGGATGATCAGTCATCCCAGGGCTAGTTATTAGTAGAAAGCCATTACCGTGTCTAGGTTTGAGCAAATATGGGGAACAAATGATTACAAAAGGAAATACAGTTCTAGAAGAGTCCCACCCAACAAGACCTGTGATCCAGTTAAAGATGCCCAGTTACTGATAAACCACTGAAAGGACCCAAGATAATAAACATCCTGATATTTTTCCTTCCCACCCAGCTAGTACTTCCTGTTGACCACGAAGTAAGAGGGTTTGCTTGAAGGACACCATGGAAGCCCTCTGTCATGGATTGAGTTGTGTTCCTCCAGAATATGTGTGAACTTGAGGAGGCCATAATTCTCAGTGGTTTGACACTTATACAAGGGTGCAATCTGGCAGCATTGTAATTATGTAAACATCCTCTGTGAGTGATCAGCCCTGAATCCATGTAAGGGGATTAGGGTGCAGTGCAACACCCTTAATCAGGTCAGTACCCTGATCCAATGTAGGTGGAGTTTCCCTGGGAAGTGGCCTGCATCAACTTTTGTCTTACAGGACATGAAAGGAGAAAGAAGTGAGCAGAGATAGAAGGACTTACTACCACCGGGAAAGAAGTGCCAGGAGGAGCACATCCTTTGGACTCAGGGTTCCTGTGCTGGGAACTTCATAGAACCAGGAGACTCAGACAGGGAGAAACGCTTCCCTAGTGGTGGCATTCTGAATTTGGACTTAGGAGTTTCCTAAACCGTAAGAGAATAAACATCTGCTTGTTAAAGCCATGCACATGTGGTAATTCTATTACAGCAGCACTAGATGTCTAAGATAGCTCCCCTGGTGGAGAAAAGTGAGACTAGATCTGATGAAATGAGTGTAGCATATCTGGTTAACTTTCCAACATAGTATTCTATTGTTTTTCTAAGTAAGATGGTGAGAATTCCTATTTTTGAAAAAGAAAACATACAGGAAATAAGTAAAGAGTCTCCAACTCATTTATTTGAAATATTTATTGACTACCACTGTGAATCATACATTAAAGTAGATCTAGGGCTAAAGAGGCAAAAAAGGCAGATACACCTCTGCTTCTCTGTAGTTTATTTAAATGGCTTTTGAATGGAAGAGTGAGGTGATGTGGACCTTAATTTGAATATTAACAGTGTGTAAAACCAGAACCAATGTTTGTATACACATATGTGTGTGTGCATATGTGTGTGTATAGGAGCTCTGGTGGTACAGTGGTTAAGGCATTTGGCTGTGAATGCACCAGCTGCTCCACAGAAGAAAGATGAGTCATTGTATCTCTGTGAAAATCAGTCTTAGAAATCCAGTGGGGGCCGCTATGAGATGGAATTCACTCAATGACAGCAAGTTTGGTTTTATATATACACACACACACACACACATCAAGTCGTTTTTCTTTGTGTTCTTATGTTGATTCTGACTTATAGTGACTCTATATGGCAGAGTAGAACTGCTCCTTAGAGTTTCAAGTGAAATGTTTATGGGAACACTTAGCAAGGTATTTTATTGCCCTTGTGAACAGCAGGTGCATGCTTAAACAATTGTGTCACTGGGGCTCCATACACACACACATACACACAAGCTCTCTAAAATTTTCTTACTGAGAAACAATTAGTATTATATCCCTATGCCTGGATGCCCTATAGCAAAGGCCCAGTGATCACATGTCAAAATATATAAATGGAATTCCATCATCAATAGAAAAAAAAACAAAACTGAATTAGCCTCAATGGCTCATTCTAAAATAGAAAAAAGGAGCATATATTTTTCCCTTCTGCTAAACTATGAAGAAAAACATATTATTGAAATGTTTTGGGCTTATTTGAAAACTCAAAATATGAAATATGTTCATCATCTTGCTATTAAGATTGTTGTCTTTACAGGTTAGTCACCAACTTCTGAGTTCATCATCAGTGAAGAAATGAAAGAAAACAGGGTAAATGTGACTGAATTCATTCTGATGGGACTTACACAGAATCCTCAGATGCAGAAAATTCTAGTGTTGGTGTTGTTTATCACCTACATGGCCACGGTCACAGGCAACTTGCTCATTTTGGTCACCATAATCAGCAGCCAGACTTTGGAATCCCCAATGTATTTCTTCCTGGCCTTCTTGTCTTTAATAGATGCATGCTACTCCTCTTCCATAATCCCTAAAATGTTAACTGACTTGCTCTCTGAGACAAAAACTATCTCCTACAATGGCTGCATAATACAGATCTTCACTGAACATTTCTTAGGTGGTTCTGAGATTTTTCTCCTTGTGGTCATGGCCTATGACCGCTATGTTGCCATCTGTAGACCTCTGCACTATGTGAGTATCATGAACCACCGTATATGCTACATCTTGGTGGGAGTGTCTTGGACAGGGGGTTTTCTCCACTCTATTGGACAGATTCTCCTCACTTTCTGGCTTCCATTCTGTGGCCCCAACATCATGGATCACTTCATGTGTGACATCCTCCCCCTGATTCAACTTGCTTGCACGGACACCTTCCTTGTTGGTCTCTTGCTTGCTGCCAATGGTGGGGCAATGTCTGTGATCACTTTTGCAATGTTGTTGATATCCTATGTTGTCATCCTATATTCCTTGAGGACTCACAGCTCTGCAGGGAGGAAAAAGGCTCTTTCTACATGTGGGTCCCACATCACTGTTGTTTTCATGTTCTTTGTACCTTGTATTCTTATATACTTGCGGCCAGTAGCCACCTACTCTATGGACAAAGCCATAACTGTATTCTATACACTTGTCACTCCTATGTTAAATCCTCTTATCTACACGGTAAGGAATGCAGAGGTAAAAAATGCCCTCAGACTGTTAATGAACAAGAATGTAATTTCAATTAATAAGTAACTCAATATGAGGATTTTATGTCTGTCATGATCCTTGCATATTTATGTTTTATATATTCATGCACTTTTCCACACATCTCACCAGACTCCTGTAGAAGCTTTGCAACAATTAGTCTTATTTTACAAATGAAGAAAAATTAAGTTACAAAAATCTAACATATCAGCCCAAGGTCAGAAGCAGAGCTATTTAGATCTCCTGTGTTCTAATTCCAAATTCCATGCTTTTCAACTATTTCAAAGGGTATCAGCATAAAAGGTAACTTTCCTATCAGAACCATTCTTGTTCTGTAGCAATTTGAAAATTCTCTTCTTTCACTGTAGAGTTGTATAACAAACCTGTTTCTGCAAGCAGTTGGTACATAGAAATCCATGTTGTCTAATGGTATCTAGGATAGTGAAGAATACAATTTAGAAATAAATTACTTCCTAATACTCTCTCAGGACTCAATATATATCTAACGTTTACAAGTAGATGGGTTTCTTGTTCTCTTGAGTAAAAGTAGTCAGTAATAAAAAGTAATGGTATTTAAACCTGTGATGATCATAATGACCCTCAAATATATTCTTATTCCACATCCTGTGAGCTTTTCATTATATGAAAGACTTTGGTCTAGGACTTGTTATGGTCTGTATTATTTTTGGGGAGAAAAAAAAACACAGTTTTTTCAATTACATGTAATAGGAGGTGATATTTTAAAATAATTAAGTGCAGTTCTTTTTTTTTTCCCCCAAAACACATGGTGAATTGCATCTATCAAGCAATTTCACCTTTAAAAGTTGGCTATATGATTTACCTGAGGTAGATACACTCCTTGGAGAGACCAAGCAAGAGAGAAAGAAGGGCTGCCCAGGCACAGGGAGACAGCTCAGGGGGTAGGAGTGTATGGAGGGATGGACACAGGGAAGCAGTAGCTATTGGGAGGAAGTGGGAAGGAGATGTTGCATTGTGCTAAATTGTGGTCAATGTCATGAGACAAAGTGTACGTGATCTGCTGTATAGAAAGTGTATTTGCTCTGTAAATTTTCCCCAAAAATCACAATTTAAAAAAAAAAGTTGGCTATATGATTACTTTATCAGACATTAGTAAGTGTGTATCTGGGACTTCTCTTGGCAAATTGTTTTCAGAGATGGCTTTATAAGGTATATAAAGAAAGCAGAAATCATTATTCCACTATTGATCAAAGGAAGACTTATTAGCTAAATGATCCACGTAACTCCTAAGACTTTGTTGTGAATAACTTTTGGCTCTTCTCCAAAAGTCTATTACTATAAGACAAATGTATGTCATGGAGGTCTTTATAGCTGCCTCAGAAACTTTGATAGTAAGTCCCAGCTTTTGACCTTATGAACATGATGTTTTATTGAAAAAGTCAGCTGTCTCTATGATTAAACAGTATTTATCAAGAAAGATATTATTGTGAAACAAGATGGAGAGTCAGAACAATAGCTTCGGGATCATGAGACATGAGCTTTATTTCTCATTGTGCCACCATCTCATTGTATGATCTTCGATAGTTTCTTTAGGAAATTTAGAACGTGTTTCTAAATTCTGTGATTCTGTCCATTTTTATTACTTTCAATATTGTTTTATTTGATTTGAATTCAGTTTGAAGAAGTAAAATTAAAAGAGTTATAAAATATTATATTTCTATAAGCTAGCAGTTGGTCATAGGCCACCATCCTAAACTTTTCTATTTTTAGTAAACAGCTCAGTAGATGTTCTCTTAGGAAAATATTTTTAACCGGACTAAGTATTAGAGAATGTGAACTCAGCTCTTGAATATTTTGTTGCCTTGACTGGAATGCATGAAGCTGCCCATAAGATAAACATTTTGGCAGCTGTATTTCTTTTTGGTGTGGAATCAGTCCCAAAATCAGTCCAATATGAAACTATATAAAACTCAACTGGCTTCTGCCCAACTATGATCTGATCCATATATAATTTCTCCAGCTTTCATTCTACTTTACTTTTCTAGTTTGAAAATTATGTTCCTGTCTCTCCAGTGTTTATTTCCAATCTCTCCTTGAACTTGTATTCTGCAAACAGACTCTCTTGCTATAGCTTAGGAACTCTCCTTTGGAAAAATTACCTTCATAAATAACACTATCTGATTTAGACCTAATTCCATTGATGCATTCAATGTGCAGCGTTCATGAATAATGTTGAATATGTCATGGACTGCAAGAGAAATGAGCAAATAAGTATTAGAGTAAATATAACCAGAATGGTCTTTTGAAACAAGTACAATGAAACATTATCTTGCTTACTCTGGATGTATTATCAGTAAAAAAACAATAGTTAGGAAAGGGCATCTTGTCTGGTAAAGAAGAAGGTCAGGGAAAATGAGGGAGAGCCTCAATGAGATATATTGACACAATAGCCACAAAAAAAGATCTTAAATATGCCAAAGATAACGAATATGGTGAAGGAGTGGGCAGCATGTTTTTTTTTTTCTGTTATACATACATTGCCATGAGTTGGAGCCAACTTGAAGGCAACTAACACCAACAACAGGCAAAGACTCTGCCCTTTCTCTAGTCCATGCTAATGTAAGTCATGGGGAGCCACACTAGACAAGTGTAAGTGTGTCCAAAGAAATCTCTCTTCTTACCACTCTAGTTATTAAATCAAGGCTGGATAATAATGTAATGAGTCATTGTGAATGAATTTCTGTTTTTTATGAGATTGGGCAGGATGGCTGTGATAGTTGGAGTTGTGTGTCAACTTGGCTGGACCCCAGTTCTGTGTGGTTGTTCCCATGATGGGATCAGATGACTGTGTTCTGAGTGGCCAATCTGCCCAAGGGGAGTTTCCCTAGGGGTGTGGCCTGCTTCCAGGATATCCAGGGACATCCTGGGAAGAGAGACATTTTCTTTGGTGGATTGG